CCCCCCCCCCCCCCCCCCCCTGTGCCACAGGCTAACTGCCAAAACACGGGAAGGAGCAAAACTATACGTGAAACGAAACTTGAAGCGTCGGAGTACCCACAACGCCAGACAAAAAAACAAGAGAAATATTACAAAAAAAGATAGGAGCCCGTCGCTCATGCTTCACATGTTCGTCTTATGGTGCCGGAGGCACACGAACCGTCAGCCGACGAGAGGGATTTAACCATACCCACAAGCAGCAGCAGCAGATCGCTGATCACTTGCCTTGTCTGCTGTTCCGTGCAGTTCGAAAAGTGTCCTGCGCATCATTTTGGGGGTCCCGCATGCTGAAAACAGTACCCCCCAATGTTGTACATCTCCGGGGCACCCTTCTTTCTGAGATTTTTGTGTCTTTCAAGCGGGGACGACTGTACCTCCTCATCGACTCGTCTCGTTAGCCACCGACAAAACGCTACGCCACACCACACAACAGACACATTTTTTTGTACTTTTTTAATACGTTTTTTGTGCACACCCTGTCGATCTTTCAGCCACACATGAATGCGCACACCCCGTCGCCCATATGCGCCGAAAAACTACGTCGAGGTATACTAAAATTTGATAGACAACGCTTGCAGCGAGAAAACGAATTCGTGTCCCGCTCTCACCAGGGTGTCTCCCCCCCTGTCCGTCTCCACCGCTCGCATGACACCGGCGAGATGTCCCCTTCCCACGACGCCGACTACCCTCCGTTGACCACACACCGCCCGGCTCCGCTTTAGGGTCCACGCCAGGTAAAGATCTCGCTCGTAGATCAAGGGTCCTGGCGGATTGTACGGAGGGGGGGGGGGNACGGCGATACGTTATCGTGCATGAGTGCCATGATACGGATACCCCATGTGCACGGGGATACAGAATGGTTGGAGCCAGTCTACAAGTTTGAGTCGAGACTGCATCTGCAGCACTACCTTCTTAACTTTGATTTCGAACGTACCATTAAGGTTCTGTGATTTTCTCACCTACAACAGACGGAAACCGTTCAGCGAGCATGCTGATGAGGACCTCCAGGGCGTCTTCTCCGACCTCTCCGTCGCTTACGCTTTTCCGCAGCTGCTTCATGAAAGAGGAAACAAAAGCGAAAGGCACATCAAACACAGCTTCACTGCTCTTCGAACAGCTTTCTTTTTGGGCGCCGCAAAATCTACCCGCAATGAGGATGACAGCAATGTTTTCACGGAAAAATAACTCATTGACGTGATTAAAGTTCCCGGTTGCAAACGGCCGAACAGAAGGATACTGCAACGAGCGTACGCCTTGAAAGAAAACATGCATACATCGAGCCACCAGATTCCAGAAGGGTGGTCACCGCCAGCACACCGTACACACACAGGCCGTGCCGCACGTCTTGCCATAACACCGCCTACACACCAAGGCAAAAATAAAAGTTACACAAGAAGTAAACCGAAGTATGCCTGCACCCTCGACAACGCTACTACTCCGACATCCGCTACGATAACAGCCGTGCGGTGAGCGTGACCTCAACAACGAAAAACCCTACCATGGTGCCCTTTGCCTCTTACCTTTTCTGCGGCCCCCCAATGGCGCCCCCCCCCCCCCCCCCCCCCCCCCCCCCCCCCCCCCCCCCCCCC